TGGTCAAAATGAAACGGCAGTAGCGCTCCTTCGCCTTGCTGGCACTCTGCCTCAAATCATGATGTAAACTTAAAATGTCACCCTAACGCTATTTTCTAGAAGAGTGAAACCATGTGTGTGGGCTTCTATTGTCAGTAAAACCTTGATGCATTTTAAAAAGCTCCCCATGAGGTGGGATTAGGGTGGATTCCTGTAGATGTGGAGGACGTCTGGCATGGTTCTGGGCCAAACATCACCAAGGACCTGGGCGGGTTTAGAGGTACCCCAACAGGCTCAGAAGTCTGGCGTCGAGAAATTCCCTTGTGGTCGATTTTCTGGGAAGGTTCAAAGGTTCGAAGGCTTGTTCTGGGAAAGTTTTCAAGTCTTGGCCCGCTTCCAGAAAAGAAGCTGTTTAGGGTCTAGTGAGGCGCATCACCCACGTGGAAGCTTCATGACTTCTCATATAAAATCCACTGCTGCAATTCCTGATGCCAAAGCCTGAAAAGGCCTCTTTGCAGGACATGTTAAAGCACTGGGATGCGCATCCCTGAGCAAGGGCATTAACGCCAGACGTGCTCACTTTCACCACAAACCCTCAAGCCAAAGCTCCTACAACCCCAAACCTGACATCCCCTATATCATCCCTATATATAACTCATTAATACAATAGCTTCCACCTTCCTTTCCATCCACCGCTCAAATGAAATCCTAAATCCCAAACCCTAAACTCAAGCCCTAGGCCCTCAAACCCCGAGCCAACAAAGCCTGAAGGCTGTATCCCAAACCCTTATCCTGAACTCTCAAGATTAACTCCTCGAAAGGATCGCCCCCGGCGCGCTTTGGGTGTACATCTTCTCAGAGGCTAGGGTTTAGGGTTTAGGGTTTAGGGTTTAGGGTGCTACAAAGCTAGGAGAGCTTGTTTTCCTGGTGGCTAGCAGGGCATGAAGGTTTGAAATCGCTAGATAATGTAAGATTCAGGATTTAGGGTGGTTAGTCTACTACAGAGATGCATTCGCCTGTTCCCTATAAACACCAGCAAGCTAGAAGAAGTTGTGGGTGTAGCTGGAGATGATGGCCAGGGGATCTGTGTAGGGGGTAAAAAAACTTCAAATATTTCCCGGACTGTAGGGGAGAGGCAATGTTTCGTGCTGAATGCCTTGGGGCTGGAGGGCGTTTTCTACAGTTTCTCCTCGTGCATGGTTCACTCCGCATGGAATGCCGAAGACTTTCAGAATAGCGGGTCTTCTCCGTTATCATATTTATCTTGTAGCCGATAGTGTATTGATGGCAAGCCATGTTGACGGTTTGAGTTCGTGCCCTCAAACATTGGCATGAAGCCACGATTAGTTTGACAAATGCCTCCGAAAGCGTTCCCAGTCATCCCACCTTCATGGGCTAGTCCATGGCTTATGATGAAAGTGGGCTTTGGCTTCAGGATTTATGGTGTTGTGCCGTGGTGATGGTATTCACCAAGGATGCAATTTGATGAACCCTTGGCTGAGGGTTTAGGGTTTAGGGTTTAGGGTTTAGTGTGTGTTCTGCTTGATCCCGCTCAAGGTGAAGCAGGTGCTTGTCCTGAACCTTGTTTTGGTGAAGCTAAGGCACGGGTAAAGGTACGAGCGCTGATGGGATATCCTGTGAGTGGGACCTAATCACGGAGCGTTTGCAGGAAAATTTTCTTTCAGAGCGGTGGTAGTTTCCCAAAATTAGGGGACCCCAATATATACCCCAATATACTCTAATCCTTATTATAGGAGCCCCCAAAACGGTACCCCTAATTTTGGGAAAACCCATCTGACATTTATGTAAACCCCTGAGTTGATTTACGCCCTCAAGTTTCAAATTGTCGGTTCTGGATTGTCTCTAGTAACTTTAGTAGGCCCCATGCCAAGAATGACAACTCCGATTCTGTTGAGTCCCCCCTTATGATCCTTGAACTTGAAGGGTTTTGGACAAGTCCTTGAGTGACAGCCAAGAGGTAGGACCCTGGAGCATGTTGATTGGCTTTAAGTCTTCCTAAGTGGAGACTACTTGGAGGTTCAAGGCAGTTATCACCCAATGAATGATAATTCTACTTCTCATGTATATCCCATTCACAAAGCCTTAAGTCGCCTTATGGTTATGATTGGACTTATAATGGGGTTATAAAAAACCTTGAGCCTCAAGGTAAAGTACCCCTGCAGCTATTCCATGATTGCTTTATTTACCAAAGCCGGCCCTCATCCCTAAACTCAAAACCCAAACTGAGCCCTTCCGAGCGGACGCAACATATCCTATGAAACTCTGCTTTGGTTGCGTAGTGTGGCCCTCCCCTATGCCCAAGACCCTTTGCATGGGCCTCATAGTCAACAGTCGCGTCAAATCTTAGCCCAACCTCGGATTCTTGGCACCGGGATCTAGACGTGTAAGTTCACGAGGTGCGCGACACGAGGGTCCACAGAGGTATAAGTCATCTGTTTGGGTGCCGCTTTTCGCAGGTGACCTGAAATTCCGCGATACGCCTCATCCGGACATCGTGGGAGGGCAAATTGTGTAAGAGTCATACTGGAGATGTGGTCTTCTTTTACTTGTTGCTAGCCCTTATGTAGATCAGGGTTTCTAAAGATTAAAACGTTGAGGAATATTGTTCCATGAGTTTGAAATTAGTTTAAGTTTCGCCAACTCCCTACCTTACCTTCCCTAGATCTGCGTCTTTGCAAACATTTGCATGCCGCTCATATTCCAAACATTGTTCAACTTTTCGTGCTTTGCGGACTTTGTAGAAGAACCCCAGGCTAATGTATGGGGACCCCAAAGAGGGAATCCTAAGGATACAGTAAAGATACAAGGAACCTGGTAGGTATATGGGTTCCCTAAACCCCAAACTATAAACCCTAAACCCCAATTCAGAGACTTTCAAGTGGATCGGCTCCAGGGTTGGGTCTTGAAGCGCGAAACTTTCAAGAATGCCAACAAAGGCTTGGAACAACGAGGTCCCATCTTTTTGGAGTCCCTACAACAGGAGTCAACATATTTTGAGAGTAGATAGAGGGCACTTTCTGTGAGACCTGTCTCATGTGGAGAGAGGTTATGAAGGGAGGCTGCGCACAAGAGATCTATAGGTTTGAGACTTGACTTTGTAGCTGCTGCCAACAGGGCAAGGCATTGTGTTTCCAAAACGTTAAGGGTTTAGGGTAACTTCCAATCCATTAACCCAGCATGCACTGGCGCTTCGCTTTATGGTCTGAAGAAGTCATGACGTTCGTCGCTGATGGGCGTCTTGATTGGCATACGGTGCGAAATATATGGTAGTTTCCCAAAATAAGGGAACCCCAATGTAGACCCCAAAATTCTATAATCCTTATTATGGGGACCCCCAAAAAGGTACTCCTAATTTTAGGAAACACCCACATCGCCGATAACATGCTCCTCTGCAGGGCGCACAGATTAATCACGATTGGCGTTGATCCCAGACCCAGAACCCAAAGTTTTTTTTTTCAGATCTCGAGCCGGCGCCTAAGTGCTCTTGCATGCAGCGCGTGGCTGCAGCCCAAAATTATGTTTCGTTTCAGATGCAATATACATGTAATGCATTTTTCCTTCTTTCGGCAGCACTTTATTTTCATCATCGTATATGAAACTCTAAAGCCCTGAGCCTCTTCCAACTTTTTTCAGGTGCTTCTGAAGTAGTCCTTTGCAGCATCCTCTTGAGAGACGCCGGAAGTCCAGGCAGCGGTAAACAAAATATCCATATAATCCTTGATGGGGCCATCCGGCACTTAAGTCAGCAGCGTAAGAGTTTAGGGTTGCGGGTTGGGAGAGAACAGTCCAGTCCCTTTGGCCCCAGCATAATTGCAGTTTCCTTGGGGAAAACTACAACAATGATACCTGTCACTCGTCAAGAAGGCCAGAAGCTGCAACCCGAGACCCATTACAGTAGTTGTTTTGCAGTTTTCCAAACGATTCAAAATGTGTGGATACATCTTGTCTTTCTTCTAGATTGAAAGACTACTGCAAAACGATTTCTACACCTTAACATCTACCACGTCCTATCAAACTGCAAACCTCGAACCGATGGCCCGCACCCGAAATCCTTCATCCCAGTTCCCCTAAACCCTAAACCTTAAACCCTAAATCCTGAACAAACAACCCAGAGCTCCAGGACTACATCTACGGCCGCTACGTGCTGGGGGACGGCAACACAGAGGTCAGCGAGCAGTTCTTCCCGATCCTTTGGAACTCCCAAGGTGGCTGGTGAGAATTTTGGGTTTAACCCCTTAGGTTGAGGATCGGGGCGTGTAATCCTAAACCCTGAACCCCAAGCCTTGAACCCTAATCCCGAAATCCGAAACCCCAAACCCTAAACCCTGAACCCTGAATCCTAAATCCTAAACCCTAAACCCCAAACATGAGGCTTGTTGCTTGTTGTAGACATGATGGAGACTTCCGTAGGATGACGTCCAAAAGCGGCGATTTTTTGCTGGGCCGTTTGGGAGTATCCGAGCCCCTGGATTGTAGGAAGCAAGGAATGGATCCTTGTAGTAGCTCCTACATAAAATCCCCAAAAATATCATAATATACAGTGTTCCATACTTTTCCATTCCCAATAGTTTAGGCTGCATCATGTCCAAACTAGTTCCGCAGATCTGCGTCGCAGATTGAGATGCTGCCTCCTCTTCCCTCAACTGACGGGTGCTTAGTCGGGAACAAGGGAATCTAATTCCTATGCAGTCCCAGCAAAATGCATTCCTAGATTCCCTATACTAACCCCCAGTAAGTCAATGTGTTGTATTCATAGTTGATGGCAGCGATTCAAAGGAAGCTGCAAACACGTCCTGCTGAAAGATGAGAGAGACTGGCCACCCTCCAATGAGAACTGCCTTTACTCAATCTTTGATTGTATACATTTCCTACTTCCAGAGCCTTTGGCTCCAGGCCCAGGACCGTATCTGGTGTCTAGTTGGTCACCGCTTCTAGTCTCCACTGCCAGGCTTGAGCCATTAGACATGCTCGATTCGGGAGAGAGTCGCTCTAAAACGCACATGTGGGAAATGCAAAAGCTGCTCAAAGAACTGGAGGGTGAAGATGCTGTCGTGCGCAGAGACGCCACAGAGGCGTTGCGCAGGATGGGTCCTGCAGCAGTTGAAGCTGCGCCGCAGCTGATCAAAGCGCTGAATGATGAGTCATCATGGGTGCGCAGCAGCGCTGCAGAGGCCTTGGGCAACATGGGTTGCACAGCGGCGGAAGCGGTGCCGCAGCTGATGAAAGCGCTGGATGATGCAGAGTCATTTGTGCGTAGTAGCGCCGCAGGCGCTTTGGGCAACATGTTTCCTGCAGCAACTGCAGCTGTGCCGCAGTTGATCACAGCGCTGGATGATGAAGATTCCTTTGTGCGCAGAAGAGTTGCAGAAGCCTTGCGCAGAATGCGTCCTGAAGCAGCTGAAGCTCTGCCGCAGCTGATCAAAGCGCTGGAGGATAAAGATTCCTTTGTGCGCAGCAGCGCTGCAGAGACCTTGGGCAACATGGGTTGCGCAGCGGCGGAAGCGGTGCCGCATCTGATGAAAGCGCTGGATGATGAAGAGTCATTTGTGCGTAGTAGCGCCGCAGGATCCTTGGGCAAGATGGGTCATTCTGTAGCTCAAGCTGTGCCGCAGTTGATCAAGTTGCTAGACGATGACAGCTCCTTTTGTGCGTGCAAGCACCGCAGAGGCCCTTGGCAAGATGGGTCCGCCAGCTGAAGCTGTGCCACGGCTGATCCAAGCGCTGGGGGACGAAGACTTATTGGTGCGCACAAGCGCTGCAGAAGCCTTGGGTCCTTTGGGCCCAGCAGCAGCTGAAGTTTTCATGTCTACAGCTTTGCTGCGCGAGAGTCTGATCCCTGTCCTGGCACTAACGGATGTGACAGAGCCAGCCCACGGTTCTTTATTGCAGCTGCGCTTTCTCAACGAGCAGGCTACGTGCAAGTCAGCTTTTCAGAGTGTGAAGTTCCACTGCAGCTGAAATAGACGGGCCAGAAGATTGCAGCAAGTGCTCTCTCTGAAGCATGGTGGGCAAGCTGTGAGTCTGAAGGTTCCCTGAACATTTTGGCATAGTTTTCTCTGGAGTAGGGTCTTTCAATGTGAGTATAGCTAGAGGGTTGCAAAGGAACTTACGGCTCTCCAAGCCCTCTGCAAGCATGTCAGGTAAGAAGAGATCAACGTGCGGCTGACAAGAGACTTGCTCTGAAAGGGCCTGCTCCCGTCAGTGACGGAGTGCGTGAAACGCCTTGGCCTTAGTAGACCAGCTTATCATTACCATTACAATGGTTTTCATTCTGATTATTACTTCTATTACTACTATTGTTACTACTGTTATTACTATTACTATTGTTATTACTATTATTGTAATTATTATTATTGTTATTATTATTAGTATTCTTGTTATTATTATTATTTTTATTTTGGGCTGATCTTGTTTAAAAAGCCTGGTTCCGTTCCCCCTCGCTGCCGAAGAGGTCGGAACGATGAGGCGGAGCTTTCAGCCTTGGAGGACCTGAAGGCGCCCTGAAAGGGGGTTTTAGGGTTTCGGGTTTTAGGGTTTAGGGCTTAGGGTTTAGGGTTTAGGGTTTAGGAAAGAAATCGTTTTTCAGAGGATTCAGGTTCCTCTATGGTTACTGCTGTGGAAGTTGGGGATTAGAACTTTAGAATTTCAAGTTTTATTCGTGGCTGTAGCCCAGCAAGTTGTTTGGAGGCAAGGTCTTCGGCTCAAGGTTAGGTATTATTGTTATTCTAATTGTAGTTCATATCATGTATACTTCTTATTCCATTGTTACTATTATTATTGCTGTTATTGCTTTTATTCCTATTACATTTTTGCTATCAAATAGCTCTAGCTTCCTCTTGATTGATGAAGACTTACCTACCAGCCTAGTTGAGAGAATGAGGCCACGAACGCTTTTGCATCTGCGCCTTTCTACCTACTGGGGATTAGTAGGGGATAAGTGAAGATATTCTACATGGATTCCATGGGGATTCTATTCTTTTACTCTCCACTGATCCCCAGTATACCTACCCTAAACCCTAAACTCGAAACCTTATAGTAATCGGGTGGGAGGCTGGGCTTGCTTCAGCTGAATGTTGTCCTTTGGCAAACTGGAATCTAAGTGAGGCTTTGTACCACACAATGGATGTTCTGTATGAGCTATAGTCTAAACTCCTTAAAGCGGGTTATGTGGGGAATTCTATAGGAGACTACTATAGGGACCATTAAGGGGCATGCTAGGAGTTTAGGTTGCAGCTCACATATTCCAGGCAAGCCGGGTAACACGTTTTACTTCAGAATGGTTCTGCAGGTTCTAGACAAGTTGGCTCATGAGTTTTACTTCAGGATGTTATCGCAGAACACTTGTTTCTCCAACAGGTAGTATATTTATGCAGCGTTCGCCCACTGCGCTACGCTCGAGCCAGCATCAGTGGGGCTTTCTGTTTTCATGGACCATGGTAATGTTTGTCTGCAACAAGAAAAAGCCACATGCCGTTACACCATACGGCATGTCTTCATTCATGATAGCCAGTGCCGTTGTAACATGAAGCCTTGAAGACGGCGTAGCCTTGTTCATGCCCATGCTGCCTCCGGATGATCATGGATGACTTTCATCACCCCCCCGTATTCTGCCCCCTTATAAGCCCTTATTATCCGTAAGCCCCCCTAGTTAAAGGGGAACCTAGCGGGGTAGTATAGGGGGAGCAAAAGGGGACCAAGACGCTGCTTTTGTTTGTTCTGTTCAGGCAGAAGCTGGGGTTGGCTGCTGAGCCTTTCGTTTCACCTGTGCCTCTTACAGTGAGGCACACGGTTGTAATGTACAGTTCCCAGATTTAGACCCATTTCAATTGTATACTGCCATGGGTCAGTTTTGTCTTTGGTTTCTGAAGCCTCTTTGTCCTTCGTGTGCAGAACTTGGACAGCATGCCCTCCAGGGACTTAGCAGCTACGGCAGAGGGGCACCGCCTCTTCTGTCACCTTGCTTGGCCCGGGATGGGGTTTACATTCTCTGATGACCGCTTCTGCAAAGCTGCAGAAAAGCGTGGTTGATGTGTTTACCGTATGTTTGTTTGCATCTTGCTGCCATGTCAGTCATTTTTGCCGGGTGCCTCTTCATGACATCCCAGCCAGAGGGTCCTCGCTCTACGGAAGTATTTGTCAAGGGCCTTCAAGTGATGCAGAATCAAATGGGGAACGACATTTGTATCAAGGATGGGTCCCTGTTACACCGTTGAGGAACTTAACATGTCATGTCCAGATATAGTTCATTATGCTACAGTAGTACTTGTAGTTTTCTTCTCCATATTGTACATGCCTGATATCTACACACCTGGAGGTTTGCTTGACCATGGAACCCATAGTAAGACTCTTAAAGCGCTTGTCGTGTTTGTATGCTCCTTTTTGGGTTTGATGGAGCGTCGGGGTCGCGTCTGAGTCAAGGACATTGAGGGCTCGTTTTTGACCTCATAACTTGTGGTTGCGGACATGGGTTGAAGTTCCCGTCAGAGCCTCCATCATCTCGGTGGGTCTCTTACGTGGGTGATGTCAGCGGCTGAGAGAAGCACACCAGAGTCTTTCAAACAGGATTTGTACATGATGAGTTCCAAGCCTCAAGGACATGTCCCACTGTCTCAGGGAGTGCGCGTAAACAAGACTCATTTCTGAACTTCGTCCCCAACAAACCCGAAGTCCCCAACCCGATATTGTTCTGCAAGGCTACGCCAGCCCAATCGTGCGCCGGATGTTGTCAGTGGACTGCTTGCGCGTTGACTGCTCTAAGCCCAAGGCATTTCCAGCCTAGGTTAACTTGTAGAAGGGATAGGTAGCAGTGAAATCAAGTGGGTTATGCAGGGACAGCAGAAGAGGCTAGGCTACGATATGTTTGTATTGCAGGATTTCAGGTATCCCAAAAAATGTGCCATTGCCACCCCGCCTGACTACATCATGTTTTGCCTGCAAGATATATTGATAGGTGGGCTGAAGCAGGAGGGGATTCAATGCAGGTCAGTTCCAGGCATGTGGTGCCAAGACTTGAGTTGGGTAGCTCTCAACCACTCCCGTAAGCGTCCCACGCCCAAAGCCCGCAAAAACGCATAGGGCACGCTGCGCTGGGATTGGGTTTGATAGTAACCAGGGTTTCGGACTATAAAGTTGAGGGATGAGGGTTTCGGGTTTGCGGTTTTGGGTTTAGGGTGTAGGGTTTAGTCTGTAGGGAATAATTAGGGTTCAGGCTAATCCAGTATAATCTTCCAGGACAGCACGGTGTCTCCGCCGCAGAAGCGACAGAAGAGCTGAGCTTCCAAACTGTTCAGGGATCCTTACAAGCTCTCTGGCTGCGGTTTTGTTTCACTTACATCTGGTTAGCTGGGAATGAAGGAATGGAAGAAATGGAAACTACTATAATGATGGGTTATATAGGGACTACTATAAGTATCCATTCCTTCATTCATAGCTAACTACAGGTAAGTTTAAGGTGCATGTAGAGTGCCACAACAAGAAAGGAAACAAACCCTAAACCCTAAACCCTAAACCCTAAACCCTAAACCCTAAAGGAAAACCACAAAGGTACGTCTTGTAAAGGACGCCTGTAGGGATCCCTGAGAGCAGCTTCGTTTAGAACGACGGAAAAGCTGCATGCATTAGGGTTTAGGGTTTAGGGTTTAGAGTTTAGGGTTTAGGGTTTAGGGTTTAGACTTTAGGGTTTAGGGTTTCTGGTCTTTGGTTTAGGATCCAGGATGGTCTTTCAGGCCTCGGGCTCTTTGTGTCTCGGACAGTTTTTTCCAGTATGCTTGCCCTCAGATGGATAGTTTGTGTGACTGACGGGTCAATTTCCAGAAAAGGGTCTAAAACTACAGGGTTTGGAGTCAAGAGCTTAGGTGTAGCGAGACCTCGAACCAGTTTTGAACGATTTTTTTGGTGGGGACTCCAATATGGATCCCAACATGCTACAACTTTATTCATGCACCCGCATGACGCCCGCAATTTGTTCGAAACTCTCAAATGCTTCTGTTCATGGTTCTGGACCATCCTCCTGGCGGCCGTCTAAGGTTTAGGGTTTAGGATTTGGGGTACCAAACGTTAGCATGGTCACATGCTGTCTAAGATGCCTACGACGAAAGTGGATTTCAGAGGATGTGGCATTTCACAAGACAGTTCCTCTACAATGGCTAATGGGGTCCCTATCATCCCCTACTAATCCCTACCCCTGAAATTCCTTGGGTCCGTAGGGTCATTGTTGAGAAGCACCTAAATGGGTGTTTGTCACAGTTCAGGTTCTAGAGGTGTGCCTTTGCACCTCTAATTTTGATCCTAAGCTGCGAGGCACGAGATCATAGGATTTTCCTCAAACCTAGGTCATGTTCCCGTGGCCAGACACGGGCATCATGGCCTTTGGGGTATGTAAGGGCATCCTGATATTCAGAGATTCCATGGACCCTAACGTTTTCCAGCGCCAACTTGGGATATTGTAGAAGCCTGAATGCATGCGGTACCGAAATTCTCCCCCTCCAATCTTCATGTATTGATTACCGTAAATTATACCCCAAGATTCCATTCAAATTCTCTAAGCCACTCCAACATGTTGATCCCTGCGCCTTTTCCTGGACCTTCTCTGCGTCCCTACCGCTGGCACTTCAAGGGTCAACCCCAAAACCATAAACCCTTTGGGCTTAGGGCAGGCCGGACCAGTAATGGCAATTCCTAGGGCTCTTGGAAAGTTAAGAAATTTTGGGATTTCCGAAGATAAGCAGTCCCACACTTAGGATCCGGATCATAAGGATATTGCCCTAAACCCTAAACCCTAAACCCCTAAATTGGTATATGAGGCCCCTGTGGATCCAAAACAGATGAAGGCCGATGATCCCTTGCGCCCATTTGGCCCAGACGGTTGGTTTCCCGTGGAGCAGGTTAACAGAGCACGACAGCCAAGCACTCTACATGCAAATGTCGCACTTGTCATGCAAAGCCTTGAAA